AAAAAATTATCCATATCTTTTAAACTAGAACTCCGATTTTAACATGTTATATATGAAATTTGATTAGAAAAATGTGTAGAATCTAAATATGATCTTATTTTTAGCTATTAAATATTCTCAAATATTATTTTCGATGCAAACTTAATCTAAAGTGCACGGTCCATTTTTATTTCGTATCGGCGGTAATCCGAATTGCAAATAAACACCAATTAAAACCATATTGAGAGGAAAGAAAACATTGATTAGCACGCATGCACACCTCTAAAAAACCTCACGGGAAAAATAATATATTTCTTATCTTATTCCGAGCGAGGGTGCGCGCGCGCGCGGGAGAGAGAGAGAGAGAGAGAGAGAGAGAGAGAGAGAGCTTAGGACTAATCACATTCAAACGCGTTTTCGTTGTATGAGCACTGAAGTCATCTTGGCCAACATAAATGTGATGCCATGCGAAAGTAAAGGACATGGAACTATTAGGGTTTTGAGTCAGGATTATTAGGTTAAAAGAGAGAGACGGCAGAGCCCAAGCAGGCGGCCGCAAGGGGAGGCCGCCTCCTAGCAGGCGGCCGTCCCTCCCCTTGAAGTCTGTGCACCATTAACGAGAAGCGACGGGGTGTGGCTACAATGATCGCTCGCCATGCGGCGGCACTGTAGCCATGCCCCCCCGACCAAGCTGTCGTCATCAGAGGCAAGGCTACAGTGCGGCCTAGTTCTCCTGGCCCACAGGCAGCAGGCCCTACCCGTCGACCGAGATCACGGCAGTCGCTGGGTCCCAGCTGTCGGCGGAGAAGCCGAAGCCCCAAGACACTGATGTCTGGGTCCTACGGCTAGTCGGATTGCCGTTGTACCCCTGTGGGGTAGGCCTATATAAACCCCCCATGGCCACCCATGCAAAGGGTTGAGCCCACAGTTCATCATACAACCCAGATAGCTAGGGAGAAGTAGAGCTAAGTTGCCTTCTTCCTCCTCTTGCTCGAACAGCTCGAGGAGCAGCCTTGTAGCCCGCTGTTGTTCATAGTGATGCGGAGACCCGCAGAGCAGGATTAGGGGTGTTATCTCCACGCAGAGCCCCGAACTTGGGTAAGACCTGACGTCGTTTGAGGTCTCGCCTACTCCCGCTTCTAGAGCCCGGCAATGTTCTATTGACCCCCTACATGATCAGCCACCCGTTGGCATATGTCGAGGAAATACCACGACATTTGGCGCCCACCATGGGGCAAGGCGCACCGTTGGCCGGAGATACATTCTAGATGGGAACCCATTTCCTTCCCCGCGAGCACAGCCAACCCGGCGTGTCCGATGGCGCTTGCGTCGATGCGTTGCGTTGCGTGGAGGCCACCTGCGCCGCGAGCTCCCTCGGCTATCTCCTCAGCGGAATCCACCTCACCGACGAGCCTGCACCAGACGCGGGATCGGCCAACTCCGAGAGCTGCCTCGTCGACCTCCTCGGCAAGCTCCACATCGCCAACGAGCTCGCCTCTAACCTGGAGTCCATCAGCTCCACCAACCCGCCCATTGAGATGATCATCGACTCCGACGTGGCGGATGCAGATGCCTACCCCGACCACGTAGAGATCATCGATGATCCGCTCCCTCGCGCGAACAACATCACCAGTGCCAGCACCGTCTCGGAGGTGCTGGTCATCATTCAGGACGGAGCCTCTGCCGGAGCGGACCGGGATCCGATCCGGACAGCCCTGCGAGCCCTCGCCACTCCGGTCGAGGAGGGCGCGGATAGTGCGACGCTGGAGGCACACCACATCTTGCTCCTCGATAGCGCCGACCAGTTGGCCGTTGCGAGGTGCCTTACGGACGCCTACTAGCGCGAGATTGACCGCGCCGTAGGCGGCACTCTGGCAACTGGAGAGCCCAATCGGCTGGGCGCATTTCGACAGTGCGGCACCGCCATCGCAAGCAGATTCGTAGCCGACCACCCATCTACGCCACGCCCATGGAGAACCCGTGCACTTCTCAGGCGGTGGCAGACGAACTGGACAACCTAGAGGGCGACGAGAAGCGCCACATGATGGAGCAACTTTAGCAGCTCCTCGACGCGGCCGCCTTGCAGCAAGAAGCCGGCCGCCGCGTGGAGGACCCCGCCGTGCAAGATGAGACCCGTCCTCCTTGCAGTGAGCACGGTGCGACCTCTAGGTCCCTGATAGGCAGCGCTCACGTCCGGAGGGACCCGGAGCCG